ATCTCCACAGGGGCCTGGAGTCAGGTATGACTGGAATGTTTGCATTTCAGGGCCTTTGGTGCAGGATCTTGGGTTGTGGTGGTGCTCGTGTCACCCAAATCAGAGGTACTGTATCAGTGGAGCTAGTCCGGGAACGTGTTGAACTGGGGGTGTCCAGGATGGGTTCTGCTGGGACCTCTTTCTTTAAAGACTCCTTGAAAGTGGAGGAAACTCTTCTTCTTTGGTGTTGCGGCGCTTTAGGTGGAGCGGTGCCAGGCACCCAGCTCTGCCGTGCCCTTTCTTACCGTATCTACTTTCCTTCCTCTTCTGAACCCGAGACCCTCTATCGCTTCCAGCTTCTCTTTGTTTCCCTTCGATCTTGTCTCTTACTCACCTTCAGCTTCCCCTCGCTCTTCTCCTTCTTCTCACCTGGAGCTGATCTGGATCAGAGGCTTTCTGCTCTCTTTCTTCTCGTCCCTTGAAGAATCACCTCTGGGGCCATCATTGTTTTTCCTTGCCAAGCTCGCTGTTGATGGAGGTGAGCAGAGGGAGGGCCGTTGCGTCCTGCAGGGCAGGTAATGAAGTGGGGCTCTGAGGGGTAGGGAACAAGCCTTGGTTTCTCGCGGTGCAGCGTATTGTCGATCTGGCTTCAGTTAGGAGAGAGTCCTCGAGTCCTGGAACTTGGCCCTCAGAGCCCTAAAGTCCATTGTTGCTCTCCTGGGACAGTAGGCACGCACTAGACGCAGTGGACACACGACGACTATCATTCAGCCGAGGGTGCTCACTTATAAACAGGGAGCGGAATCAGTTTAACAGCAACAACAAGCTGTGAAGTCCTGGCTTCATAAAGTCGACCTGACACCTGATCGGCCCTCAGTACGATTTCAACAGTCAGATTACTGTTCGTAGAATAAGGAACAAACTCAGCTCTCAGGTCACTTAATGATTCATATGAACGCGGACAGTTGAAATCATTGACAAAAAAGCTCACACCTTATACAACACCAAACACCAAAATTCATAACCATGAATCTTACAGGTGGCGATATAAGTTGTTAATCTGACTCTGAGGAGGAATTTGAAAACACAGGACCCAACTACCACAGTCAGGTGAACTGTAAACACCGAAACCACAGAGAGGTCTGTTCAGCCACACCGAAGCTCCAGTGAGTTTCTCCTTCACTCTCTCATCCTGTGCTGTGTGTTGTGAGGGAAAATTCACCATCAACAAAACTCTCCTGTCACCCGCGTTATCGATCGTGTCTCAAAACCTTCTGCTCTCTGATCGACACAGGTGTGCGCCCATTCGCGCGTCAGGACGACCGGTGTCAAGTGGAGGCAAAAATCGAGATGAGAGTGAAACCACACTCATCTCCAAACTACAAAAACACAAAAAACGCGCTCCGTCCGTCAGACGGGTTCCGCCTCCACACTACCCGACTCTCAACACCTGTTTGGATTTTTTTTTTTTTCTTTTCATCCCTCAGGAATTGTGGCCGGTACTGGCACCACGCACGCCGCCACACGCGTAAACGCTGAGTCACTGTCACGAGCTGTTGAGCTGCAGTTTGTGCTTCTGTTGAAACTCGTTTACCACACTGAAGCAGCCAGTAAGTTTCGCTGTGGTGTTGAAGTTCATTCATCCATCACGTGGTGGGTTTGTCCTCCGGGGCTTGCAAGAATCTCGCAAGGAAAACATGGAGGCAAAAGTGAAAACAGGAGGCTCGGTAACAAAACAGTCCAGCTTTGTTACACAGAATACTGACAGTATTTAAACAGGCATTTAACACATAATGACATTAAACACACACATGCCTACAGAACTCAGTGCTTCATAAGGAGTCTTATTACCTGCAGAGTGAACCCTTGTCAGGGACAGCGTGTGTTCAGATAGCTTGCAGGCCCTCTGCTCCCTCTCATAACATGGTTTCGGCTGACAAACACACAACACACACACACACCACACACGACACACACACACACACACACACCACCACACACACACACACACACACAACACACCACACACACACACACACACACAGCAGCTGGGAGGAGCAGCACTGAACGGTCGGGTTACTTAAACACTGTTCACCCAGCTCGTTGTGTAGATATACAGGAAGACTGAAGAATATTTAACAGCTCCATGTTTCTTCTTTTCTGTGTTTTATTTGAAGTTGTTGACTCCATTCAGAAGATATTAAAACCATCTCAGTGTAGTTTTACCATCTCCTCTCTCAAGGTTCTCTCTTCGCAGCTCTAGTATCATATAATATAGAACAGAGCGGATCTATAATCACACTACACATGCGACAGAGACCTTTACAACTGGACTGACTTGCAGCTTTAAAGTTCAGTTTTTCCATATTGGTTGTATACCATCCATTGGCAAACTTTTTATCGGCAGAGGCTTTAAAGGAGCAGTCCGAACAGTTCACTTGGAGGTAACTGAGCTTTCGTTTTGTGTTGCTCACAGGCTTAAAAACTGCAGCTTGTCTCCCAAAAATAATGTGCGGTATCCGGACAATCCACACACCTGGCCGCTGACAGCCCTCTTGACAGTTTACACAAAACAGTTCCAAGAAAAAACTCTGACAGATTATGTATTCGTGATTCACAGCTAACTGGGACAGAGTTTTCAGAGACACGGTCGCTGTCAATGTAGTTTCAGTGATTTAAAAACCCAACAAGAAATCCATTCACCTCCACAATGTATGGCTGGTAAGCAGAAATTCTACTCAGATGAGTATCTCAAAACTCTGTCACCTCAAACTGGATATGCGAGGCAGCACCTACTCCAGGTAATGGGAGAAAAATGACTTACACTTATCATAGCAGAGTCTCAGTCTCTGTTCAAACGTGGAATTAATAAAAACTTCTTTCATTTCATCTTCTTCCGCAGGCGGAGGGGGAGAAGCATGCAGGCGTGGAAGGCTGAGTTCTGAAGTTTCTAATTAGTATCAGTTTTCTGCTATAACTGCTGCTGTTGACAGAATTACGCGATTAGGGTACGCCTGTGTCTCTCAAATGCCATCACCACAATACCGTTGGCGCTTTGCTCTTACCCACACACTCTGAGGGGGTCACCTCCTGCACCCATTAGCACACACCACACACACCACACACCAGCATAAGATCACCATGAAACCCTTCCATGTTCTGAGTTGTCGATATATATCCTGCAATAACAGTAGACACAATGGTGGAATAGTAATCTATAATGAGAGACACTCGAATCATGTGCGTCGTACAACTCCACCTGTAGACATGTCTCATTCATTCAATAAAAGATGAATGCGCGTTCCAACATATTCTGTCAACAAAAACCTGTTAGCTGAGGTAAAGTTAAAATAGGTCTAGAAATGTTATGTACTCAAACAGCAATGTTTCCCTTTTTTATTCAACATCTTTGCTTGTCTTCTAAGTTGTCAGATTTTTAAAGTTAATCAACATCATAGTCCAAAAAAGAGCGAGATAGGGACTCTGGCCATTAAAATAGGGAGTCACTGCATCACAGTTGATGTAGTTGAAGCAGAGGATGCTGCGGTTGTGGCACCTGACCAACGGACAGACAGACGGCGGAGCATCACGGCGGCGAAAGAACAGAGTCGGACAGAATGGACGGAGGACGGGAGTGAGACCACGTCTGCTGCCTGTGACAGGAGTAAAGGCTTGCAGGTTTTCTGGGAACATAAACCGTAAGAGGCCGACGACACTGACGCGTGGAGGCGAGACAGACGGGGCACGGAGCAGGTTAGGAGCTGGAGCCTGGGTTAGTACGTGAGGCTGAGACTACGACGTCCATGCACAAGAAGAAAACAGGATTAGAGACGGAAACCAAACGGAGTGGGAAAAGAGGAAAAAAGAAAAACATATTTTGGTATTGCTTGGGTTAATGTGAAGAGTTTGCATAACTGAAGCCTTCCTATTTTATGGCACAGACGTCCAGTGGACAAAAATGGTTGTTGTTGTTGTTGTTATCATTATTTACAAAATGAGTTTGGCAAACCAACGATCAGATGCCTTAAAGCCATGTTGACTCTATAACTCCTATAGAGCTGACCCAGCGGCTTGATTGACTTATAAAAATAAAAATTCAATTTTTCAATTTGTTCTGTTTTTTTCTTTTTAAATCGGTATTGTACAAAAAGCTATAGAGAATGAAGAGTTCGATCACAGAATCTGTTGACTTCGCAACACTTCCCGCTCAGGGCCCGGTCCCTCGGGAGGTCCGGTCCTCTGGCCTCTGAACCGGTCCGTCTGCGAGGAGAGACGTTTGGCAAATCACTGTGTGGCTGCGTGTTGGAGAGAGTGAGGGATGACTGCGTGTGTGTGTGTGTGTGTGTTGGAGGTGTGTGTGTGTGTGTGAGTAGCTCCCAGAGAGTCTGTTTCTGCATAGTGATCCAGCAGACACTCACAAGAATGGGGGAAGAAAAACGCCCGAACTAACCGACCAATCAGAAGCAGCGATCCCCAGAAACGGGCCGTCCCTGATAGGCCCGTTAGAGTCTAGCTCCTCCTGTGGGATCTCCTCGCTACAGATGCAGATTCGTCCGTTAACAGTTAACGATGATCACTCTAATCCCAATGAGCGTGTGTGTGTGTGTGTGTTGTGTGTGCGCGTGTGTTTGTGTGTCTGCGTGGTGTGTGTGTCGGAGATAGAGAGGCACTGCTTGATTCAGTCCCTCCTTGGCAGCACAGACTCTGGCCAGACACAGGAGGCAGAGGGAGGAGGTGGAGAGCGAAAGATAGAGAGGAAGAGGAGGGGGGGGGGGGCAGAGGGAGGGAGGGAGGGGAGGAAGGAGGAGAGGGGAGGATCAGGTGATGTCTGTAAGGCTGGGTGTGAGTCGCCACAGGGAGGAGAGAGGAGAGGAGAAAGACAGCGCAGTGGAAGGAGAACTGGATCCATTCTCAGTGATTGATATCCCTCCTGCCAGGAGTGATATGACCGAGAGGACTCTCTCCTCTCAGGAGGAGAGCAGACTGCAGAGAGGAGGAGGAGGAGGAGGAGGAGGAGGAGGAGGAGGAGGAGGAGCAGGAGCAGGAGCACAGGAGGAGGAGGAGGACAGAGGGAGTGTGGAGGCTCCTCCTGGGAGGTTGTTAGCCGGAGGAGAAGAAGAAGTAGGGCTTGGCCGGGCAGGGAGATGTGCCAGACATTGTGCACACACACACTCTCTCTCTCACACTCACACACTCTCAGACACACACACACACACACACACACACACACACACACACACACACAGAGGTGAGGGTTCTCCTCCTGTTCTCTCAGTGCCAGTCAGGTCTGTCTTCCTGTGTGTCTCTTTATTTCTTCCCTTTGTTGATCTGGGCGTAGAGAGGGTCCTTCCCCATCTGTGCACGAGAGAGAGAATCATCAGAACCTGAAAACACGTCTGTAGTTTCCTCCGTCGGAGCCGGACCGGATCTGAACCGTGCGGCCGCTGCAGCTCGTCTCAACGTTACGTCACTTACATGATTAAAAAGGAGGATCTGAGCCTCTGATTCATTCTCTCAACCGACTGAACTGCAAGACCCGACACGCACAGGTCCAGACCTGCTCCTGTACCCAACACAGCCACCAGGTGGCAGTAGCACACTGCAGTGCAGGACACGTCCACCTCACCCCTCACTCCTGAAACCTTTTTGTGTGTGTGTGTGTGTGTGTGTGAGAGAGTTATTGTTGCTGGGTGTGTCATTGCATATTCCCTCCCACTTCAGGCTCCCTCCAGGACCAGTATGAATCAGAGGTATAAACTAGCGCCTCGAAAGACCAGTTATGAGTCATCATGTCTGTGTTTCTCTCACACTGAGCCGGAAGACAACAGTGGATGATGGAACACCCTGCAGTCAGAGCTCCGCCTGCTGCAGGCGCTGACGGCGGGCCCGTTATTATCCTACACATAATTACAGCCGGTCACTCCATCTGCCGCGCAGACAACTTGATTGGAGACTTCTGACTGGCCCGGTGCACTGTGACTGACTGGGGTCTGGCAGCAGCTCCCACACCAGGAGACAGCACCTGATGTTCATGTCCTGAGCTGATGTGAGGAAAGGTTCTGCAAACAGCAGCTACCGCTGCCGCCGAGCGCCGCCCTTCAGTCGAACTAACATCACGACATCAGAGGCAACATGGCCGCTCAGACCGAGGCCCCGACACTTCCGCTGACTGTTGGTACAGTGGGACTCCACTTCCCACATGTGGAGGGAAACTGATCGTCCATTAACTGAGTCGATAATAGATTAATCAACAGAGAATTAATAATAGTTAATCATTTACGAAAACCACTAAAGCTTCTCAAATGTTGTTAAATAAGAATAAATGAACCGTCAGTCAGAATATTTCAACGCGTCACTTTGGCCTCTGGGATTTTGTTCTGGTCATTTTTCATCATTTTCAAACATTTTAGGGGCAAAAACAACGAATTGATTAATTTAAAAAAGGAGGATTTTTTCCTGTTCATTTGCTCCAGTGAAGCTCAGAGTGACTGATGTCCCTGAATGCAACTCTCATGGGGGAGATGAAAGAATAAACTTTCAAACAAGCCGTTCCACACTCCACCTCATCCTGAGCTCAGCTGGGCAGAGACCTGGGGGTGAGGTGTGTGTGTGTGTGTGTGTGTGTGTGTGGGGGGGGGGCCCTCTGGGATACAGAGCTGTAACTGTAGTGCTGGCCGGGACAGTCGGCAGAAAGTATCTGCCAGCAGCTGAGAGAGGTGACGAAGAGGCTGAGACAAGCTGCGACAGCGAGCACACTCTCTGCTCAGCCTCTGCACCACAGACACGGCCCGGCAGTGTCACCCTGCATCAGCTAACCAGCTGCTGACCGAGGGGGGGGGGCGCTTCGGCTCCATCACCCCTGGCCCAGAGAAGGGAGGGGCTGAGGTATGAGTGATGTGCTGGTGAAGCACCAGCCCCAAGGCCAAAAGATCTGGCCTGGTAGTTGTGTGTGGACATTTCTGTACGTGTTGTGAGCGCTGCGGCCCTGGGCGGGGTGGGGGGGCGCAGTGTGAGACTGCTCAGTGAACTGTGGAAGGAGGCCATTTCACGGCTGAAACTCGGGAGCGTTCGCTGGACATGATGAGATCGCCCCAGAAAAAACACTTACACCCCCACCAGCCTGAACACATGTCTGTCGAAGCCTCACAGTGGGGGGGGGGGGGGGGGGGGGGGGGGGGGAGGGGGGGGGTGGGGGGGGGGTGGGGGGGGGGTCAGGGCCAGCAGCAGACACACACTTGCTAACACACACGTTTTGGCTCCAATATGAGCACAGGTGGTGACACTATCGATCACAGGTGTGCTTGTCTGGAGAATAACTGGGCCTATTGCACAGGTGTGTGTGTGTGTGTGTTTTTGGGAAGATGTCTAAAGTCGATGTGATTCAGCAAGTAAACACCATATGGGAGCAGCGTCATTGGACCAGGACCAAAGCAGTGCACATACTACAGAGAAATAACTTCTGGCTGTAACAGCGCCGGCTGCAGCCAGATCCTCCGCTCACTTCTCCACCATCCGTCCTCCCACTTCAGGCCCACATCCACCTGCTGCCCTGCGGCGTTCACTCGCCGGCCAACAGGGGACTGAGGCGGCTCAGCCCTCCTCCTCTCCCGGACTGGGGAAGGACTGGAAGGCTTCTTGGGTTTTAATTAATGCCAATTATGTCGGGGCAGTCATTAATCTTGGCACCCCAGTATTAGCTGATGAAAACAAAACCATTACAATTTTCCCTGTGTGAATGCCAGCAGCTATCATTAAGGAGCCACAGTCAGGAATTGAGTGGGCGAGGACACTGGGTAGACAGGCAGGGATCAAAATGGCTCTCTGCCTTGGTGTGTGTGTGTGTGTGTGTGTGTGTGTGTGTGTGTGTGTGTCTCTGTCTCTTTGACTAGTCAAACTGCAACACTGCATGTTGACATGTCTCCAGCCAAAGCAAGTTGTGTGAAAGTTTTCCTGTCGGATGTTGTGCATCATCTACTCTCTTATGTAGGAGCTTGTCTTCAACACACACACACACACACACACACACACACACACACACACACACACACACACACACACATTATAACTCACATTGCATCACGAAACATACATAATGCATAAAATGACAGCGCTCATCACAGTTATATTAAGCTAAACATCCAACATCAGCATATTGGCGACTCCCAGAAGACGCCCTGCTCACTGAAGCACACTGTTTCTGATTGGCTGTCACACACTGTTGGCTTTCCTGGTGAGACGTGTGCTATTCAGGGAACCGGGCGCTGTGTAGGAGCACGTCACACACACAGGACACGATGAGGGCACGGAGCACTACGGCCAAAGTGATCATGCACGATGAACTCATCAGGTCACCCATGCGACGCCACCTCGTAATACACAGGTACTTACACAGCTCCAGGTGGCGCTACAATAGAAAAATGACATACGCACACATGCACATTCACACATGAGAAACCGCTCAGGCCTCGGTCAGACACATGCCTTCCTCTCATGCGTGACAGCAGGAGAAGAAGAAGTGAAGTCAAAATAAGACAGAAAACGAGCAGACGCAGGAAAAAGATGCAGCATACAGAGATTTAGATAAGTGGGGGATGCAAGAAAAGAGCAGGGAGGTGGAGGAGGAGGAGTTAGCAGGGTGGAGGTGTTGATACCTACCCTGCCCTTCTGCTATCTAGCTCCCAGTCTCTGGACTGGCCTGGTCTGGGCTGGGCTCTGCTGTCTCACTGGGGCAGGGCGACCCAGAACCACACGCCTAAAGAGGGCAAGAAGAAGGAGGGAGGAGGAGGGAAAAAAGGGTGGAGAGAAAGGTCGGTGGAGGAGTATAAGAGAAGGAAACAGGAGGGAGTGGAAAGTAGAAAGAGAAGAATAAATCTGAAAGGAGGAGCGCAGGATCGGTAAAGACTCAAAGAGTGGACGTCGACAGGAAGCAGAGAGAAAAGACGTCAATACTCTGAAGGAGAAATAAGGACATCTGGAGTGAGAGAGCACCTCCCACACAGCCGGCCTCTTCTCAGAAACACATTAGCACATACACGCAAACACACTTCAACACACACACACACACACACACACATGCGAGCACTCATTTACAGTGGTCCATTATGAAAGCCTCTGTGGAGTTCGTTCTATTGATCCGCTGCTTTTTTTCCTCAAACACTTCCGCTTTTAACACCTCGTCCTGCAGAGAGCGGGAAGCTGTTTTTCTGCCTTCGCTCCATTCTTCTCTCTCTCTTTCTTTCTTTCTTTCTTTCTTTCTTTCTCCGTAACCTTTTCAACTCACCCAGTCAGTCACTCAGCGCCGCCACCAGCGCACATTTCTCTGGGTGGTGTGACGCCTCTGTGTGTTATTGGGGCCCGGTGACATTTTTAGCAGTGTGATAAGTTCTCCATTTTTTTTTTCAGTAACAGGCGGATTGGAGGCATAAAACTAATGTGTCACGCCTGGAGAGCAGAAGAGAAGAAAGTGGAAGAAACACAAAAAAGAGAGAGAGAGAGAGAAAAATAGAGGGAAAATACTGGAAAAGATTCTACAAGGACTTTGGTCAAAGGGAAATTCTCTTTAATTTCTCTTCCTTTCTCTCTCAGACGGAGGTGCTGCTGGGAAAATAAATATTAATTGCCCCTGGAAGAAGAATTGGGGCACCGTTCCTCTTCTATCTCACCCCAGATGAGTCTGTCCGTGTAGAAGTGGTGATGTATGGACGCTACCTGGCTGGTATTAATAACAGCTTAATGATGTCTCTGACAATTCCTGCAGCTAATTTTACGCTGTGTGTTCCCCGCACGCACACACACACACACACACACACACACACACACACACACGTACACACACACACACACACACGTGCACATTGATACCAACACAAACACACACACACACTCTGGGGGACACAGCAGCGTCGGCCCCTAATCAGCCGGAGTGATTACCTGGCCCGCCATCACTCTCCAGAGGCTATTCATCAGGAGATCTCAGCGTTACTGACGTGTTAAAGGGACACACACCTCACTAACATCCTCACACACACTTACAGCGTCCTCCTCTCCGCTGCGACTGGGGCTGCCCTCCGCTTCCCCGAACGAGTCGTCCGTGGGCGGGTCTGTGGCGTCGGTGGGGGGGTCACTGACGTGGGAGGCTGAGGACTTGGAGGGGGAGCTCTGCCTGGGAGCCGGGGTGGGTGCTGTACGGGAGGACAAGCTGAGTCAGACGGGCGGTGATCGGTTTAAAACACTGACCGAGGACAGACACACACGGACGGAGCGCTCACGTGAGTTGGTGGACGGTGTCGTGGAGGTGACCGGTGTCAGGTTCATTTGAGAAATGTCAAAGTCGTCACAGTCGTCCGTGTCCTGGGCGGTGCCCACACGGCTGAAGTAAGTGCTGAATGCCTCTGAGGTTCCTGCTAAGCTGGGCTGGTCAGCCTTCTTTGACGGCATGGCCGGAGGCTTCGCCAGCTGAAAATCCTGAGGGGAGAGGCAGAATTAGTCAGGTCGACACATTCAGGATGTAACCTGTTCTCTATGGGACAGGTGCAGCTTTAAAGCTCCATGTTTCTTCTTCTTCTTCTCTTTATTTGAAGTGTTGATCCATCAGAATATATAAAAACCATCTCAGTGTAGTTTTACATCTCCTCTCTCAGGCTTCTCTCTGGAGCTCTAGTAACAACAGGTCTGTGAGCCAATCAGAAGAGAGGAGGCTCTGAGCCTCTCTCCTGATTGGCTGACTGTTTTCTGAGTGAGCCAATAAAAATAAAGCAGATTTCAGGTAAAAACACTCAGAGAAACCAAATCCTGCAAGGTTTGGATGGTGGGTCCAGGTGGGCGGGGCTTGGTGACTGCTTTGTTGTGACATCACAAAGTTCCAGAAGTCCTGACGGCTGGTTTTAAGGCTCAGTTTCTGAATACAGGCTGTGTGCATTTCTCTGTGGACTGAGGCTTTGATACTTTCACAGTATTAATATAGAAGCTAGAGCTGATCTATACTCACACTACACATGGACAGAGACCTTTACACTGGAGGAGCTTTAAAGGAGATCAGTTGATCAACATAGCTAGAATCTAGGATGTATTTCTTCTCTCCCATCAGAGTTTCTGTCTCAAGTGTAACGGGTCAGACTGTTGCCAGAGTCTAGACTGGTCGAGACCAAATGTCTCTCTGAGATTAGAAGAGAAGAGAATGGCAGGTTAAGGTGATGAACATGTTCATGACTAGTTCAGGATCTCTGTTGTTTATTGTTCTCTCGTCTCATTTCCTGTCGTTTCTCCCCTGAAACAACAAACACCACAGCTCCTAGTTTCTCTGCTCGATGTTAAATTACTCAGTAGAAAACATAATTCTGTTCTCATCAGCTCCCCCCACCTTGAACAGCTCCTTGCCAATCTTCTTCCCCCTCTCCCCGTGCTGCGGACTCGACGACGCCGAGGGGGAGGGAGCTGAAGCGCCGGCTCCAGCACCTGAATGGCTCTCGCCGGCCGGAGTCACAGTCGTGACGGGAGTGAGAGTCTGGAACATGGCAGCAGGCAGGGTGCCCACCGGCTGGGCAGGGAGGTAGGCTGTGGGGGGGAAGGCTCCGGCCGCCATGGCCGCCCACTGCTGCTGGGTGGCAGGGAAGATGTTGGCCTGGCCCCAGATGAGAGGCTGGCCGCCAGGCAGCACCTGGGCCACCGGGCCTAATGGAGACTGGACCCCGAAGGCCAGCGGCGTCTGGGCAGCAAACGCCTGCTGGGACCAGTGGCCGGGGGGGACCGCCCCCATTGTCACATAACCTGGTGGAGAAGGGTTAGAGATTAGAATTAAACAGCAAACCCCCCACCTACAAACTAATGTTCTGATTGGTCAGTTGGTTGCAGGAAAAAAACAAATCAAACTCCACAGGAAGTGGCGACACATCTGGTCCCTGCAGTTACTGGACAGTGATGTCACTGAGCGTCTCTGGGTTCAACTAACTGGACAAATGAAATAATTATCAGGGCAACAAACAGCAGCAACGATTCTTTATTTTCCTCACACACGTGTCACAGGTGGGACAACTCCCGCCTTACAGCAGTCTCACCACAACTCTTAACGGACACGCTGCCTCAAATATCAAAACAACGGGGGCAGCCATGATGTTTCTGTGCCGCTGTGGAAACAAAGTAAGAGCAGAAACCGGAAGGTGAAGTGATTAAAATACCCACAGTGCATCTGCTCACCACTGCTTTTCTTCTGCACACAAACACACACAAAGATAATCACCCGTGCATCACCAGAGAGCGCTGCCCCACTTCTGCCTGCAGCTAATGTGGTGTCTCTTAATGGTCATGGTGAACTCTCATAATTACCTCCAGAGTGAGGCAGAGTCATTATGAAAAGGCAGAGCTTAACGCACACTCATTAAAATCGCTCAAACTCATCAGCAGGAGCTTATTCTATTACACACTGGCTCCTCTCCTGCTCCTGCTCTCCAGTTGTTACCTACAGCGGAGAAGGTTGACATTTAACCTCGGCTGCCCTGCCACACTGACATTTGCAGGGAGAGGAGGAGGGGGGGGGGGGCACACAGAGGTGAGGAGGGGGAGTAAAGAAGGAGAAGCAGAAACATTATGAAGTGTGTGAATCCCGCAGGCCGTGTGCATACCGAGGAGTCTTCTCCACAATCATCTCAGCGTGTTTTATTACTTTGCTCTGACCGCCGCGCTCGCCTCAGCAGCCACAGGTAAATCAGCAGCGAAGCTAATGACGCATTTCATATTCAACACACAACCATCACCACCTTTTCTCCTCGTTCCCCTCCCCTCATCTACATTTCAATTCTATTGCATCCCTCTATATTTATCTCTCCCCCTCCTCCTCCCTTCTCATCCTCTGAATCTTCTTCTCTCTCTCTCCTGCCCCCCCCCTCTCTCTCCCCCGCTGTGCTTGTTTCTCTTCCCCTGTAGCAGAGGTGTATTTTAGCAGAAAATGAACAAGGTCCTACCTGAGGGCACAGACGCAGGATTGAAGGGAGCAAACAGTTCTGTGGGAGGCTGCAGGCCCTGCGAGGGGTCGAGGGTGTTGGCTGGAGAGGCGGGAGTCTGCGCCGGTTGTGATTGGAGGTCGCGGTGTGAGGGAGAACAAAGAGGAGACAGCTCAGTGGAAACGCTGGTAAGATGTAAACAGTGTGTGTGTGTGTGTGACGGCTACTCACCGATGGGGAGGTGATGTCAGGGGGTGTGGACATGTCTCCAAAAATCTCTAACTGGTTGATATTCTGAGAAGCAGAGAGAGCACACAGCAGCAGTCAGGAGCAGTGGCCACGCCGTGACAGTATGTACGTTATCTGACGCCGTTTCCATTCCAGTGCAACATGCATCACACACCGCATGCAGCACGACGCCGGCTCGGTGGGTCTGTGGTACTTACCTCGGCGCTGTGGCAGCAACGCAGAGGGGGTGACACAGGGGTGAGGAGAGATGGCATAATGAGATGAAATGATCGACTATGATGACATACCTACCAAGACTTAACACAATCTTTGTCATCTGCTCCAGATAAAAGGTGCTTTCCAGTAGCTGCTCTGAACACATCATTACTGTACCCCTGCCTTCTTCTGGACAAGTCATTAATGTTTCCCTCTTGTAGATGTGTGAAGTGCCTCAGAGGGAACAACTATCAAAGACGGCAGCCTGATCTGAATTTGTTCTGTATCATTCTGTGTCCTTTCACAGTTTCCCATGATCCTTCTCTTTAGTATCTTCCCCTTTTTTTGCACATTAATAATGTCTTTAGGCCGGTGGCAAGTGAAGGAAACTATTTTTAGTCGATAAAGGAATTTAAGCCTTGAATACATGGTCAGAGATTTGCATAAATCACGGATGCGGATAATTTCTTCAGAGATAATGAATGTTCTTAGAATATCTTCCTCCTCGTTCGCTCGTGTAGGTCACACATAGTCCATAAAGTTCTTTTTACGTGTATCAGAAAATGGATCTGTGAGCATGGCGTTTTACAGTTATGGATCTGGACGGCTATGCTAGGGTTCTTTAACAAAGGGAGGAGGATGGGAGGCGGGAATATGGACTATTGTTGCTGCAGAGTCTAGCGTAGCAGATAAACATCAACTCAACAAGACGATAAGCTTGATACCCGAGATACACAAAACGGTTCATCCACAGGGACTGATAACAGGATATACATGGGATTAAATTCTCAAAACACACTTTAACAAACACTGTTCTTGACCTAAAATACACCAGTTTCCCTTTGTGGTTACTGAAGGCTGTGGCACTGAGTTCTCTGAGTCAGACAATCTGTTCTTCAAACAGAAACCACCGGCACTGAGCGAGGGATCAAACAGCTCAGGAAGATGGACAATTATAGACTTTCTGTCCACTCTGTTCACCTGACTCCATATCCTTTATGTGTCGTGAATGCTTTATTAATGTGTGTAACTGGGGGGGGGGGGCGTCTGCACACAAGACGACCGGCGCCCTCTGTTCTCTGACCTTTACCTCCATCCCGACCTCCGCTCTCGACCGCTCGCCCTCCCTCTTTCGAACACGTACGCATGCGGGTGTGCACACATGCGCGCGGTGCTCGACTCTACTCCTGGTTACTATGGCAACAGCAAGACTGCATGTTTTATTCATAAAAGACAGGGGTCAAGAGTCGGGGTGACTAAACGACTTCAGGAGAACAGAAGTGGTGCAGGAGAGATTAGGATGGGAGGCGGGAGATCATCTGAGGACTGAGGGCTGATGGGTAACCTTCAGGACAGCGTGTTCCCTGTTCACAAACCCTGGAAACAACAAGAGAACTGTGCTCGGCCGTATGTTTGTATAGCTCCTTACCTGAGTCACCATTCCCAGGTCTAAGTCTATCAGATCTGCTGCAGCCTGCTGCTCCTGCTGCTGCTGCTGCTGCTGGTGTTGAAGAGGCTGATCATGATAATGATGATGCTGATGCTGATGATGGTGGTGGGGGGTGTTTTGATGTCCGTTCTGCAATCGCAACCCCAGTGTTAGATGGCGGGTGGGATGAAAATGTGCTCACACAAACATATTAGTTGTTTTCAGACACTCAGAGAGACAGAGGGGAGTGAGGTGAGATGAGGCTAATTCAAGAGGCGGAGGTGATGGTCTGCAGGTGTTCTAGTCACGACACACACACACACACACACACACACACACACTCACAGAGCAAGGTTCTTCTTCCCAGCCTTAAAGACCAAGTGAAGATTTAAAGAGGTTTAAAGATCATCCCCACCTTTAGTGTAAACTACAGCACTGAGCTGAGGTTTAAACCTCCTTTGTGTTTCTGTAAAGCCTGCTCCCCCGTGTCCCGAACCTCAGTGTGAGACAAATGGAGAGGCAGACACACACACACACACACACACACACACACAGGAGCTGGATTAACTAACTGCTGTTTGCTGTATGTGAGAGGAAAGGGAGGGAGTGTGTTAGACTATAGGAAAGGACAGCCTCCGTCCTCACCGGCTCCATCTCCACCCAGTAACATCTGCAGCGTATCAAGCTGACGGTGAAGTTATCCACTAACACGTCTGATGTCTTAGTTCTTTGTGCTGCTGTTCTATTACAAACAAACAAAACACATAAAACACAAACTACAATAATGTGTTTAGTGTATTTTCTTCCCTGACACATCAGACTGTGAGAAAACATCTTCAGCTACAGCAGAACGATGATGATGATGATGATGATGATGGTGGTGGTGGTTTGGCACCAGCACTAATTGGGTGAAGTGTGTCTGTCATTAATTAATAGTGAACAATAACAGCTCTGTCTGTTCTTCCACAGGATGTTTTTTTGGTTCATTTCGATCCAGTTTTTTAAACATGTAAATATTCCTCACAGTTGCTGAGAGCTGCTCTCTCACTCTCTGTCCATCACGCTCTCGCTCGCCCTGCCAATTATCCCTCTGTGCCCATTAAACGCTCTCGCCATCTCTTCGCCCGGCCCTTTATCTTTATCAGTGCAGCCGCCACCTATCAATTAACCATCTCCAGGGAAACAGTAATTACCTGTGCACATGTGTTCTGCATACAATTAACGCAGCCCCTTTAATTAACGGCACCTTGCTGATCCCCTGCCACACACACACACACACACACACACACACACACACACACACACACACACACACACACACACACACACACACACACAATGTAGTCACATATTTCATTTACAGTGATGGATCACTGATCATATCATATCATATGTTTGTGTGTGTGGCTGATTGGTGGGTCATATGTTGACCTGCAGACGTCTGTTGATTCAACACACTCTCACTTCTTAAAGGGTCAAGAGCTCAGTGGATTCAAACAGTGTGTGTGTGTGTGTGTGTGTGTGTGTGTGTGTGTGTGTGTGTGTGTGTTTTATTGATTTGTCATCGTTTAAGAAGGTGACAGAGTAAACAACAGAAGAGATTGCTGTGGACAGGAGGTCACATCTCTGCCAGTGGTATCATTTCATTTGAGGTGTGTGTGTGTGTGTGTGTGTGTGTGTGTGTGTGTGAAGACAATGAAGCTCTCCACCCTCAACAACAGCAGTGAGAGGAGTGACGCTGCCTGTGGTCAGTGTGTGATCAGTATTCACAGCAGGTGCTACTGCAGCGTTCACACCGTGTCGGCAGAAAATATCTAAATGTTAAACTGACAATGAACTCAGTTTATGCTTTAATTTATAATAATGAAGTAAATGTTGATTGCACAATGTAATGACTGCAGGATAATGGCACCACCTGCGTTCAGACTGGTTCTCTATGAGCCTGGCTTTAACTAGCTATCTTTGCCCAGGTGGAGGAACAACCAGTGACTCTGAGAAAAGGAGCTCAGTTGTCAGAGGAGGGAGAGAAGCAAAGAGGGAGAGTGACAAAGAAAGAGAAGTAAAACAAGTGACGCTCAGATGAGCAGTGACCGGATGGAGAGAGCTCCAGGACTCCAGAGGGTTGAACAGTAACAAAAAGCCTGCTACTACTTATTAATGCAACTCTGCCTTTATCAGCTCTGACGTCAGGGATTCTTACAGCTGTTTCTTGCTTCAGACTCAGTAGCCATCATGCTAACGCTAAAGCTAGCAGCCAGAAACGAGGCAACGAGCAGCTACAAGGAAACCGGGAGCAGCCAGAAAGAAACACCTCTGTTGTTAGCAGGTGCTAAGCTAATAATAGCACCTGTAATACTTTAGCAATCATTTGCTGTGTCTGTGTCACGTGGGTTTCTCCAGCTCCCCGCCCCTTTAGCAGACCGGCAGCAGGGAGAAGTGAACGTGATCACACATTATGATTCTTTCGGCCCCACAGACACAGAAATAAATACCGGATCCATTTCCTCACAGGCCACAGATCTCCAGAACACTCTCACATTAAAATGATTAAAATGACATTTTTCAGACGGATCAGGAGAAAATGAACTTCGCTCAGAGCCGTCTCTGTCTCAGCAACACACTCAGACACAGATCTCTTCTCTCTGTGGGTTCCACAGATGTATTATCAGAACTCAGGTTCTATAGAATCACAGAATCAGGTCTTCTGATACATCCACGGTCGGTTCTGGTTCTGGTTCTGGTTTCACTGCTGCAGTGGAGCTGCTGTCGGACTTATACGTGCAACCATGAATTCAAAGATAAAACTGAAATAAAACTGGTTTCTTTGTGTTGAGTATAATCGGACTGATATCAGATCTTACACTAGCAGATAAAAACAAGCGGCAAAATCAGGTGTTGATTCAAACTGTATCTAGTGTTGTAGTGAATTGTTGTTATGTTCTGACCACGCCCACGTAGGAGACAGGAAGTGTTTACCATTCCTTACAGCTGGCGCTGCTCGTAATGCGTCATCTTTAGTTATAGAGGATCTTTAGCAATAAACTCGCTGTTTCCACTTTAAGTGTTGATGCATTATTTAGCTCCAGCACAAGAGCTGCACTCACTCCTCCTAAACAGTACTGTTAAATATTAAACGTTTGTGAAGCAGATCATCAATAAGTTCAACTCTAACTTTAACTCACTGTGTAGGAATATATCTCAATCACAGTTAATGAGCCGCTGCGTGTTAAAGTTGGATGTTCTTTACGTTGCACCGCCGCCAACAGCAGCGCTGCAGTAACTCTGCGCTGCAGGTCTCTCCACTGAATGTCAGAGTGTTGCAGTTATCAGAAATCCCCAGTTTCTCCTGGAGGCTCATGTGAACATCAGGAGGCTGCTCAAATTTACAATTTGATGCGAAGGCGGCATTTTGACATTTGAAGGAAAAGACCTGCTGTGACACTGAAAGATTCAACCCGTAGAGAGCAGCAGCGCCACGGCAGCTTCCTTCCCTCCGTGCATCAGGATTCATCTTAAAGCTAAATTAAATTATCTCCAAATTGCAACACAAGCCGCCTGCCACAAAAAGAATTTCTAAAAAGAATTTCTATGATCCATTTATATTCCTGTGATCCAGGGTTATATTTACTCCCTCTGATTGACTGGGGAGCCGCAGAGACTTGAATTTGCTGTATTTAAACCTGAATGGGCGACTGGTCCAATTGGTTGCACAACAAGAGAGAAATATTGGATTTGTTCACGTTCAGACACCGGCCAACACAAAAGCAATCCAAATAGCAGCATGTGTTGTGGGCTGGGTGAGGAAGGAACAGAAATACTGTGGTGCCTGTAAGCTTCTTACCAAAGCTGCTGGATAATGTGCAGCCAGAAAACCGCGAGACTGATTCCCAGCCCACCAAAATAGAGTGGGATTGTGGCTGCCAGCAGTGGCGTGGGGGAGTCCGGTGTGAGCGCTTTAATGATAAAAGACCCACTGAGGTGGTGGGCTCTGGCTGGACTGAGGGAAGTGTTGACACAGACCTGCTCATTGTGAGTGTGAGGATTTTAGCAGATTGAATCAGGCAGCAGTATAACACACATCTTTATAGGCAGATAAAGAGCAGCTGAGTTATAGTGCAGCCTGACAGCGGTCAAGGTCATCTTTCATTATAACCACTGACACACACACACACACACACACACACACATATAGTGATATAGATTCCCCTGCAAACACTCACTCATATGCATGAACAGAGTGTCCAACATCCTGAGGTGTAGATTTAAAAACATGAGGCCATGCACATTTACAGTCAGTCATATATTTTATATCCATGTGACAGTGAACGCAATCTGTGATAAGGTCATGCAGGTTTTTACTGGAGTCAACACAACACTGGCAAACCACAGCCTGGCATGCTACACACACACACACACACACACACACACACACACACACACACACACACACACAGTATCCCACTTAACGAAGAGGAGCAGGCACCACGGAGCACGAGGAGAGGGGCACCAGCCACCACAGCTACAGCACAAGCAGAAGAGTAGCACAGCACACTGCACAAGAGCACTGGGTCCCAGCAAACCTCTCAGGGACAGGTCACAGCGTGGGACACACTGGACGTAAACAGGAAGTAGAATCAATGCAGAATTAGAGCGTCACAAGGCCCGGAGGAAAAGGCTCGGGTGTGACAGCTGAGAGGTTTGTCTGAGAGGGGGAGGCAGGCTGAGGGGGGAAAGGGGGAGGGGCGGGGTTGGTCGGACACGGGCAAACACACGGTCACTCACTGGGTGTCGCTTTGGGACGTCATAGACCCCTTCCTTCTGCTGACTGGTGGGAACCTACACAACCGGCCAATAGAGGCAGAGAACAGCCGGGAGAGCCTGTTACCTCTGGATCCATCAAGTCATGAAACAGTCTGTAAACATCACCTGACTGTGTGTGTGTGTGTGTGTGTGTGTGTGAGTGTGAGTGTGTGTGTGGAGCAGTAATCAGTGGACTGCCCTGGTCCCTCTCTCGCTTTCTTTCTCCCTAATAAAGAATGGATGAGGCTGCTGCTTATCACGGCCACAGACATGTAATAACTCAGATTGTCACACACATGGAGACATGTAATATCTCCGTGTCACACAGGCAGAGGGATCTGACAGTGTGTGCAATGAGAAGAAACAATGAGCGCTGATATCTAGATGCTGATATATATGAGTCCTGGTTTCTGTTTCTCCTGAAGCGACACGAGGTTGGAGATAAAGTTTCTTGTTGTGACGTGCCGTGATCAGACCGTGTGGTGAATGAGAAACAGCACTGATGAAGAATGTGGACGTCTGTCCCGTTCTGTCTCCTCCTCTCGACGCCTTGTTTACTTCTCTCACATGTTTATTTCCAGAAGCTGCCATCTTTATTCATACATTAGTTCCTCTGTGGCTGGAGGCTGGCTGAGGCTCACGTTTCTTACGCCTGATGTTTGTGTGTGTGTGTGTGTGTGTGTGTGTGTGTGTGTGTAGGTGGTGGTGGGGGGGCGGGGTTGTTGTTTGTATGTGTAGCTCTGTGTGTGTGCGTGTCTCTACTAGCGAGTGTTTGTGCACGCGCCAACGCTCTTTTCTATTTTCAATCCATTTTATTTAAAGATCAAACGAGAGGCTGGTGATTAATCTTTCTTCTTTCCCCCACTTTCTTTCATCTCCTCGGGAAAAGGGGAGGGAGGGGAGGCGAGAAAAGGAGGAGGGGTCCGCCTCGTACACAGGCCAGGAATAACCTCCACATCCCCCCGCGTACACAGCGCCCTCCCCCTCCCCCTCCCCCGGAGGTCTACCCACGCCTCTGAGGAGAACGCCCTGAGAAAGGCTCGTCTCCCGGGGGTAGCTAGCTCTGTCAGGGCCCTGCGGAGCGTCGGCTGGTTGTTCGCCTCTGATTCTTTTTTATTCTTGTTTCTACATTTTTAAAATGTGTGAAAACAGACTGCGTTAAATTTATTTTAACATTTCCACAATATGTCTTTCCCGCTCAGGAAGGATGCAGCTGCTAGCTATCGGCCAAAAGTGAGAGGTCAAAAACGCTGACGACAAGATGGTGACGACAAAACTCAAGACACAAGCAGACAAGACGAGCTTGTGAGTACCTGATAAATGCTCTCTTCTGATTGGTCGCGGATGGGCTCGTGTCCCGCCTCAAACACAATGTACTACAACGTCAGCAGCAGAGGGGTGAGAGAAAAACAAGAGGCGGGAGAGAAAGTGGCAGGTAGAGAAATAGGGAGAAAAGTGGTGAAATTGAAATTGCAGAGGTGATTAGTCAAACAGCATCGTCAATAGACTCTCATTAAACAAGCAGCTGAAGAACAGACCCCCCCGACACGTGGAGGAGAAGTTAAGCAGAAAAGAAATTCCCACAGCAGCTGAGAAAACAAACATTTTTCAGCTGATCATGCACCGAACTGGCAGACATGCACACAGACGCACGGATACACACCCACAGACACACACACCTGATGGTCTACCACTGTAGATGACGCCCCACACACACACACACACACACACCTGCGGAGGTCTCACCCTCCAAACTGCTGTTACCGCGCTGTAACACAAACAGGGGCCGTCTCCCCAACAGTGCACACACACACACACACACACACACACAGGAGCAAGCTGACTGGCTAGAAACGAAGCAGGTGAAAGCAGCAATGTGATTGGTCAGGAAGTTACCTGGTAGACCGGGTCCTCCAGATCCTCCTCCAGTATTGTCTGCAGACGAGCGGCGGCAGGAAAAAGAGTGGGAGAGATCAAACGGGGGGAGGAGAGAGGAACAGAGGGGGAGACGACAGGAGAGAGGGAAGAGGCGGGGAGTTAAGCTGGAGGAGTAGAAAGAGTAGGCGGAAAGCAGCAAGACACAGCGGCTTCCTCGCATTCAGATAATCATGTGGCAATCATCAGAGAGAGAGAAATTAAACAGGAGCTGCAGAGTAAAGTGAGTCAAGCACAATGGGCAGATGACGCCACTGATGAAGCCTGAAAGTGGCTGCTCCAAACGCCACTCACTCACTTTGATGTTTTCTCAAGTCTTACTCGACCCGTCTGTCGAGAGTCTCGAGCTCATCACTCTTACGGCAGATGATTAAAGGGTGTGAACAGTGAGACAGTGACAGGGAGCTGCTAGGTGTACCTGGTAGACAGCCTGCTCACACTGCTTGTCTTTCTGGGCCTTCTTCTCCATCTCCTCCCTCTGCTTGATCTCATAGATGAGCTGGAACAGGTCCCGCAGGTCCAGAATCACAGGCTCCGCCTAGGACGACAAGGACACGTCATCCAGCGTCCTGACAGACACTCATACAGCATCCGTCCAGGTGATTACAGCCACTGTCCTCATTCCCTCTCCAACACACACACACACACACACACACACACGCACACACACACACACACATCTGCACAATCGCTGCAGACGCCGGCCTCTCGTCCTCCCTCGTTACACCCTCTTGTCAAAAGCGCCGACAGCAAACCAGTTAGATGTCTCACATCTTCTAACTACTGTCACAGCACAACAGCAAAGAGTCTCATAGTACAATGGTGTTTCAGACCTAATCAATTATTGACCGGCGCTACGCCAAGTGCAGCCAGAGTTCACAGACTCAGCGCTGCGTTGCATACAGTGGATCTATTTTAGTCTTTTCTGCAAGATGTCCTCAGCTGCATGAAGCTGGGAACAGACAGGCTGGAGTAAACGGTGGCTCCTGCTGAGCCGACAGAGAAACACACCGTCACTCTGTCAGACTCAGATCCTCTTCACATCTGACAATACAAACTCTGATCTCCGTCTTTTCCCGCCGTCTCTCTCTAACGTTCCTCTCTGCTTCTTCCCCATCAGACGCTCACGGTGAGAGAAGACAAGCCCTGAATCTTAGAAATGTAAAATGCAGAAAACTTTGAGGATGATGTAGGAGGCGTGGCCACGGAGATGAGATAACCTCGCTTCATCACTCTCGAATTAGATGACTAATTCGTAGCCTACGGCAACAATGACGAATGATTTTAACAAAAAGTAGTGGTAAAGACTTTCACTGCAGACACACTGCTCTATTTAAATCTGCACAGGATCTCTGCTCTGGTTGTTGGTGGGATCTCTGCAGGAGGTTCCTCAGCGTACTTCCTGGTATATTGAATTTCCCTCATCCTGCCTCGTCTTCATCGTTTTCACTCAGCGATTTCCTGCATTTCCTCAAACGACTTTTGACAACCTCCAGAGAATCTGCTCAAACCCGCTGTACAACCACAGAGGGCATACGCCTTTACAGCAGTGATCACACGGTCCAGACACGGTCCAGACCCGGCCGAGAGGTTCACATCACAGCGAGGAGGCTGGACACTTCACGTGACTTCTTCTTCCTGTATTTACTGTTTTATTAAGAGTTGATGAACTCTAGTGCCAAACGAGCTTTTTCCTCCTCGACCCAGAGCTGGACGCCTTTGATTGATGATTGACTGATGTTTTGGAAAGTCTGAACTAAACTAAACTGTATCCTAAGAAAATATTTCAGTGATGATTTAACAAGAACAGATGAAATATAACGACACGGCGTCGTCTTTAAACTCTCTGAAACCTTCCTACACATTGGACACGAGGTTAGCTCTGTAACCAATTGACCCATTCATATTAATTACAACTTTTCTAAAAAAATAAAAAAATAAAAAATTACAACAAAGACTGACTGCAGAGTCCGTTCCTACACAATTAGTGAACTTCCATCTGCAGCTGCAAAGAAAACACGTCTTTCTTGTGCTCAGACTGAGTTTAGAAGTAAGCCAATTACTTTCGAATGTTCCCCTAAATTGGCCTTTTCGGAACAACCTTAAGTCTCAGTCTTCATGATGACAGAGACGCTTTGTTAATTCACATCAAAGTGGTTACTTTCCAATTACAGCCTCAGCCTCCGCCATAAGCTCCGCGCCTCCGCCCCTCTCATTGTCTGCTCCACATCTAATCGTCTGCGTAGCCGCTGACGGCCGCTTCAAACGCCGAGAACGGGAGTGAAATATAATTGTGACCTTTCCTCAGGCAGACGTCAGGTAAACGACATCTTAGTGGACGCATGAGAACCGAGCCGTGTGCTACGCTGTGAGGCACAGCAGCATCTGGTGAGCAACTACTTTTTGTGGCGGTGTGTGCTGAGTTAAAGCCTGATGTGTGTGTGTGTGTGTGTGTGTCTAAGGTTCATGGCCTTGGGAGGATGGATACGCCATTAGAGCTGGTGACACACACTCAAACCCTCATCGACTCACTATGGGAAATCAATACAGCTACAGAGTGAGCCAGCTGGATCCAGACTCAACAAGCCAGCAGCACGGACACAACAACAGCAACGACATCATAACAGGCGCTAAAGGCACGCTCAATATCATATAGAGTATGTTGCTGCAGGATTGAGCACGAGTCCTTACACACACACACACACACACACACACACACACACACACACACACAGAACCCACAGCTGGAGCTCGACAGTGTAAACAGCTTGTTTGATGAACAGCACAAAGCTGCTGTTGAAGAATCCTTATCTAAATGTCAAGAGGTTCATGCTGTTGAGGAAAGACCCTGATGGGACATTAACCTACACACAAAGGTTACGTGGCAAAAAAAACACATGCTCAGCACACACACACACACACACACACACACACACACACACACACACACACACACACACACTCTCTAGACACACAGACACTGACCGACTGTGCCGTCTTGATAGCCACAAAGCGGTGGTTCCCCTCCTTCCCGCAGACGTAGCCGAAGGCGCGGTGGTCCGTGATGTCCTTGGCGATGTAGGAGATCTCGTGGACCGCATGGTGATGCTGGAGGACCTGAAGGAGTCGGGACACACGGTGAGTCAGTCAGGAAACTAACTTTATTCTACTTTTTTCTCATTATGTTGATTTTATTGATAAAATCTCAGAATTTTTTCCAAAATCTCAGAAAAAAAGAGAATATTTTAAAACTGGTAGAAAAATAAATAAGTGGGGATTACATGCTTAATATTTAGTGCTTTGTGAATTAAATGTCAGATGTTGAACAACACGCTGGCATTAAAAGGCCAGGGGCTTGAACACACTCATTCATACACAGAGACACAAAATGAGACTGAAGACGTCACCGGACTCCTGGAACCTGAGGGAGGCTGAAGAAGCAAAAGTCCCTGAAGTGAACAGAGAAACAACCTCTCACACTGAGACCTTGTATCTTGTATTAAACCGTTTCCCGCTCCTCTGCCCTCTCTTGTTGAGCCCGGGTGAGGAGTGCCAAGCTGGCATTGCCCGTGGCAGATGGCACTGTTTTTCCTGAGGACAGAGGGGGGATCAGTGACAGTCACAGCTCGGCAAGCTGTCGACTTGATCACTTCATCTGCACCCTCGCTCACAACACACACACACACACACATGAACACAACTCACATCTTAATATCCAATGGCACTCAGTTAAGTCACACTAAACGTCTGCTTTGTTGTTACTGTCTGTGCCAGCTGCATGCTGGGAGCTGAGACACGCAGTCAACACAGTGACCCAGTAGCCTTTGAATGCATGCTAGGGGTCTGAGTGCTATACATCAGAGGCTAAACACACACATCTGCTCGCTTTGAAGCTGTTCCAGGAGGAAGACATGGCAGAGTGTGGTGACACCAATTTAGCATGGGGGCACACACACACACACACACACACACACACACACACACACTGAGAGCCCGGCAGAAATAGATAATCATTGGGTGAGTCATGTCTTCCAAATTTAATAATTAGAGTAATGATTATTATTATCACCTCTGATTGACCTGAAAATGACAGTGAAGGCAGCACACACACGCACGCGCGCGCATGCACGCACGCACGCACACACACACACACACACACACACAGCTCATTTGCAGAGGTTATTGAATTATCTCGGGGAGGGTGGCGAGGTGACAAAGAGGGGCTCCGATTCAAAGAGTGCAGACAACGAGATGAAATTCAATTGTTCGGTCTCGTCTTGGAGGAAAGAAACAATTCACTCACACACACACACACACACACACGCACACACACACACACACACACACACAGAATATTCCACAGGGACATCAGGATAACTGTCACACTGAAAACATCCCGCTCAGTTCACCTGGGAATCGTGCATGTGGCGTCTTTCTGGAACAATCCGGTCAGAATCCAGCAGGTAAACTGCAGCAGGCTTGTTACTGGCTGTTTGTGGCAGTAGGTTCCTCAATTTAAGAAAAAAAAATCTATTTTATGATTAAAAAAGCTTCATAACTGCCAAAGTCTAATTAGAGTAAAAACTTCACAGGAAAATAATTTCAGTGTACCCTGAAGGGTAACCCTGCAATATTAATGATGGGAATGAATGTGAAATGGACTTTGCACCTTCATTTTAAGTTGGCAAGAAACGTGCTGCTCAAAGCCAAAAACAAGAAAACCTTCCAACTGGGATCTCTGCGTTTGGATTCTGCCAAACTGAGCTTTGGACATTTGGATTTAGTTCCTCTCACGTCACGTGCACACGTAACGCAAAATGAAATCAACCCAAATCAAAGTGATGGAGTGACTGAACATCAGTCGTCTTATACTTCCATAGAAACACACAAGCAGCAGCCGTCCTCACCCGTCCAGATAAGAACAATATAATATTATTATCTAAAATAATAAACTGGAACTCATCACTCATCCTCAACAGACTCGTACAACCCCACTACAGGAAGTGACTCCCATGGTCCATATACATATATACTTATCTATTTAGGTGTATCTACTTCCTCATTTCCATTCTATCCATCCATCCATCCATCCATCACACCTGTTGTACTGAGCTCTTATGTGCAAACTTCAAACCGGAGCTCATGTTTTATTCTCTTCAGATCTATGAGAAATTTCCCGTCAACAAAACTGCGACTTTCTGCTGTTTCTGTTGCACAGACGTTCAGACTGTTGTTGTTGTTGTTGTTGTTGTTGTTGTTGTCGAATGGTTCTTGGTAAAGTTCGGACAGAGTGCTGAGCTCAAACCTCAGGAGTGTGGTCGTCTCTGGAGCCGTCATGTCTGGAAGCATCAGCCATCAGAGGCTGTTTGAATAGATGCGTCTCTCTGGCGAAGTGTTTGCAGGAACAGGTGGGTGTATCAAAAAGAAAGCAGCCGATCCTGACTGTGTACTCGCTCCTCTCTCCTCCAGCACTGTTGATATGCACTGCCGGTCCCTCTCTCACAATCTCACACTCACACAGTGTCACAGTGTCTCTGAGGGACTGTGGGCAACGTGCCCTTCAGCAGCTGCTGCCCACTGAACCAAGATATTCCCCCATAACGCCGGGAGGGGGGAGGGAGGGGGAGAGGCGGCAGGAGGCTGTGTCTCTCTCTCCTCCACGCTCTTCACATCTCCTACCTGGGGGGTAAAGACATCATCACAGGGCCTGCAGAGGCCGTCCAGGCTGCAGCCAGCGGGACAGGACTGAGATTAGCACTTAGCTTTGAGCCTTAATCAGTTCCTTGCAAGAGGCAGCGCTGCAGCAGCTACTCAGAGCGCTCTGCCAGTCAGGAACACACACGCCGCACTGAGTCTGGACGTAACGGTTGATAATTAACAGTCTGACGACAAGTTGAGTGAGAAAGTGACTAAAAGAGACACAAACACACACAACATGCACATAATGAGTGTTGAATAGATATCTAGTCAACAGTGAGCGATGGGTCAGAGTTAGAGCAGATTCTGTAGTTTAGTTTTTTTCTCCGCTCTTGTTACTGGTTCTAAAGTGGGCGGGGCTTAGCTGGAAAAAGGTGATATTGCGTACTTCTGCACCAATCAGGGTTTAGTTCACTGTTGACAGCTGGAGGGTTGTTTGCTCGTGTTGCCGCGGCTACTGTCAATCAAATCTGATCAACCACACCCACACAGTCCTCATTATTATTATCAAATAAAAACTCTTACTAACTTACACTTTGTTGCGTGATGACTCCTGAATGTCAAAGGTCATAGAGAAATAACAGGAGTCTGCTGAGACCAGAACTCAGACGGGTCAGCAGACGGGTCAGAACCGTTAGCGTAGTTAGCATCTTTAATTTGTTTATGTTGTTTGTTAGCTTGTANACGCCGCACTGAGTCTGGACGTAACGGTTGATAATTAACAGTCTGACGACAAGTTGAGTGAGAAAGTGACTAAAAGAGACAAAAACACACACAACATGCACATAATGAGTGTTGAATAGATATCTAGTCAACAGTGAGCGATGGGTCAGAGTTAGAGCAGATTCTGTAGTTTAGTTTTTTTCTCCGCTCTTGTTACTGGTTCTAAAGTGGGCGGGGCTTAGCTGGAAAAAGGTGATATTGCGTACTTCTGCACCAATCAGGGTTTAGTTCACTGTTGACAACTGGAGGGTTGTTTGCTCGTGTTGCCGCGGCTACTGTCAATCAAATCTGATCAACCACACCCACACAGTCCTCATTATTATTATCAAATAAAAACTCTTACTAACTTACACTTTGTTGCGTGATGACTCCTGAATGTCAAAGGTCATAGAGAAATAACAGGAGTCTGCTGAGACCAGAACCAGAGACTAGCAGACGGGTCAGAACCGTTAGCGTAGTTAGCATCTTTAATTTGTTTATGTTGTTTGTTAGCTTGTAAGTGGCAGTGGCTGACACACTGTTAGCGGTTGTGCTAATGCTAACTCTCTCTCTCTCTGTACTGACAAGGTTTCAGGTGTATTTAGCCCCCGCCCCCCTGTCCCCACATGTTGACACGTTTGGGGACGGGGGGGGCGGGGCTAAATTTTGTTCCTGAGGTTTGTGACGTGTGAAACCCTGAATGTGGGTTTATGAGACCGTCATTGGTTCACCGCAGCTCGAGGTGGAAACACTGAGTCATGGTGATGATGATTATTTCATCATCATGTGTCTGTGTTATATAAAAACATCAGATGGGCGTTAACCAGGTGAAACACTGGATGTTCATTGGGGTTTTTAAAGTTGTGTTTCAGGAACAAAGCTCATGTCTGGTTCTGATTTCCTGTTTATTCAGGTGTGTATCTTAACACCTTCTTTGTTGTGCGTCACAAATCCCCCACCTCAACAAAACCCCTTTGTTGCGTCCCCGCCTTCTTCTCATTACAGAAACCGCGGGGTGGGGGGGTCAGGGGGCAATGACACGTTGATGCTCCACTGAGATCTTCCTATCTGATGCAGGTGCAATCCATTCCCTCCAGCTTCACCCCCTCAGTTCATCTCACCTCTGACCTCGACCCCCTTCCGTGATCAGAGCTGAGGAAAGGAGCTTCACTGCTTCCTTTCCTATCTCCTTTAGCAGAGGAAACACCAGAGCTTCCTTGACCAAAGGAAAGAACAAAATGCCGTCCCACAATTCCTTGCAGCAGCAACATTTAAAGCAACACACACCACTGCAGTTTCAAAACGTATGGAAATCCTTGTCTGATCCACTGAGCTCCAAATCTATAAATATAGATCTCCTTCACATCCTGTTCGGACTCATCATGAAGAGCAACTATATTTCATTTCACAAAACACCATCAGAATAAAAACTACTTACAAATATATAAATCTATATTTCACTGCAGTCTGATTCTTTGTGACTCCTCCTTCACATCTTTCCTCCTTGACCTCATGATGTTTCCCATCGAGGAGGAGGAGGAGGAGGAAGAGGAGGAGGAGGAGGAGAGGAGAGGAGGAGGGGGAGGAGGAGGAAGAGGAGGAGGAAGAGGAGGAGGAGGAGGAAGAGGAGGAGGAAGAGGAGGAGGAGAAGGGGGAGGAAGAGAAGGAGGAGGGGGAGGAGCCTCACAGTGAATGTATAGAGGCTGTGGCAGTGACAGCAGTGTGTGTTTGCATGAACACTTTCCTTCAGAGTCTTTTTAAAGAACTTTCCTCCATGTACTTCTTTAAT